TAACCTATGGAACTTTCAAAGGCTTTTCTAGCATTTTCCTAGGAATGTTCTAGGCTTTGTCTAGATTTTGTTATGTTTGGCCGATACGTGTGGCATTTGAATGTACCCTAGACCATGGGCAGCGCCCTGCGGCCCCACAGGCCGCAGAACCCAACGCGTCACGGGGTTCATGCAAGAGCTGACGTCCGATGGTAAATCTGGGAGGTACCCAAAAAGTCGACTTTTTGGGTACCTGCTTTGGCGGTGCTGGGTTGGGTCTAAACTCTTGGGCAATGATATCCTTAATGGGGACGAGGGTTCAGCATTACGGGGTTCATGCAAGAGATGACGTCCGATGGTAAACCTGGGAGGTACACAAAAAGTCGACTTTTGAAAAAACAGAGACAGTCCTCTATCGTGGAACCCACCTTTGCAGTTTGGCCTGCGAGGGGTCCTCGGCGATAGAGTGTGCCTGGACAGCAGGATATAGACGCGGACTCGTCGGTGAGGAACGCATCATCATCACCACGGGGTTCATGCAAGAGATCACGTATGGTAAACCTGGGAGGTACCCAAAAAGTCGACTTTTTGGGTACCTGCTGTGGTGGTGATGGGTCTGAACTCTTAGGCAATGATATCCTTTATGGGGAGAAGGGTTCAGCATCACGGGGTTCATGCAAGCGATGACGTCCGATGGTAAATCTGGGAGGTGATCAAAAAGTCGACTTTTTGGGTACCTGCTTTGGTGGTGATGGGTTGGGTCACCGGGAGAAACCGATCGATTCAGCACAAGTCCGGGCGCCGAGTCGACTTTTTGGGTACCTGCTTTGGTGGTAATGGGTTGGGTCGCCGGGAGAAACCGATCGATTCAGCACAAGTCCGGGCGCCGACACTTGTGGCACTTGAATGTACCCTAGACCATGGGCAGCGCCCTGCGGCCCCACAGGCCGCAGAACCCAACGCGTCACGGGGTTCATGCAAGAGCTGACGTCCGATGGTAAATCGGGAGGTACCCGACATGGGCGGTAAGCGACGCCCTGGCGCGCCGGCGTCTTCCGCCCACGACAACTACACCGAGCAGTTTTCCATGGCCTGCACAGGGGAACATACACGGGCAACGGCCCGTGGTGGTTACGAGCAACACAAGCACCCTGCCGAATAAACAAAGCCTAGAGCATTCCTAGCATCCAGTCGAAAACGGAACAAAATCTAAACAAAGCCAAGAGCATTCCTAGGAAAAATCACGGGCATTGGCCGGGAACACTGGCACAAAATAGGTTAGCAAAAGGTTCGCCATTTTTGGAGGAAATCTGGGAAAAACAAGAAAATTCTCAGAACAGCACCTGAATTGCACCCTATACCATGGGCAGCGCCCTACGCCGCGGCTCCTGTCGCCCAACTTCCTTCTTTTGTCTGACCATGGGCAGCGCCCTTCTCCCGCAGGAAACGCATAACACAAACACAGGCTGCCTCTCACCCGACAACTTGGGTGACGGGGGCTCTTCTCGACTCCTGCATTTTGCTCAAGGGGTGCTCCAGGAAACCCTACCCTCCCCACATCCAGGGCAACGTCCTTCCTCCTACCGTGGAACCACCCGCTTCCACACCCTTCCGTAACCCCCTCCCGCCCCGGCCTACCGCACTGCAGACATTCCGCCACGCGCGCGTGCCGCCCGCGTGTACACGGCTACGGTCTCTTCCCTGGCTGGCGCGAGAAGCTCGTCACCACCTCCCCGAGCTTCCGTTTGCGCTGCTCCGTCCTAGAACCAACACGCCACATGGCGCGGACACGGGCGCCTGACAGGCATGCGAAAATCTTACCAAAGCCTTTCACGTTACCACGGGCACTGGCCGGACCTCGTCCAGCGCAAAATCTAAACAAAGGCCGGGAACACTAGAATCGAATAGGTTAAAAATAAGTTCATCAATTTTTGAGAAAATCAGGGAACCTAAATGCAAGAGGACATGCTAGATAATTCTACAACCATGGAAGAAAACTGGGGAACTCCTACCCGGGTCCGGAGGGGTAGGGGCGGTCTGAGGCTAAGGCTAAGTCTAAGGCTAAGGTTAAGGCTAACATCGACAGTCACGCCTCACCCCACCTCTCTGCCTGGAGCAAGGCTAGCGCTAAGGTTCTATCCCTTGGGGGTCGGCGGCTGCAGGCGGTAGCCTGGTAAATATATATCTTTTTAAATAGGTATTGGAACACATTGATATGATTCGCGTTATCATTTAGGAGTAAATTCCAGAGCGGGTTCCGGAGCAGGTTTGTTGGTTCTTGTTTGCAATATCTTGCAATTCATAGTGTTGTCATCTTACATCCATGTTGTGGGCACATGATATGTGGTATAGCAACGTATTGCGGTGTTGGTAATACTCACGTGACACATTGAAAAGGTTCCCATCTTTCAAGACACCTTGTTTGGCGAAGACACGACACTTGTTTGTAAACTTGCGATGGTGTCATTGCCTATGTTGGTGTTTTTGGGAGCATATGTTTTAAATTATCATATCCTTGTTGTTCACATGAGAAAAGGATTGCATACAGTAAATTAACTCACATGGGTTTCCTTTTCAGTAATGATATGTTGGTGGTTCCGAAGACTTTATTAGTCTCGTGGAGTAGGTGCGTGAAACATATTGTGCACAATTCCGATCAATCGATCCTCCTCGACATTGGATGGAATTGCAAGACCATGTCGGACTATTCCTTCTTCTCTTCAGACGCAGCCTCTGCCAGCTTTAAAACATCTTTGGCCACTGCACCAGCATCTTCTCCTGAAGGTCCCTTCGTGGTGAGGCTGTCTGGGAGTGGTGGATGATCAGCAGTCTTAGTGGAGCCTTTGATAGTTGAGATGCATAAATTGGGGCCCCATCCGCTACACGCACCCCACCAGCTCTCCCATGACACTCCGGATCAGAATTTCACCTAGGCGTTGTGTTTCTAGTGAACTTGAGAACCACGTCATACCACATCCACATAGCTTCTCTCAGAACGAGAGGAGCTGTTCCCCTGTAGGTTGACCCATATCCACAACAAGGGGCATATGCAGCTACAATTAATAACATTGGAAAAGACTCCACATCCAAATCTCCCAACACATTCTCATGCTTGCCATGCCACTGGTCACCCAGGAGGCAAATTCCACCTTAGGGAGCATTTCTCATACTGAGACTCCGTCCGTGGCAAAGGACAATTCTGTCCATGTTTGTCTTGCAAAGGACATCTCCAATCGCCCGCGGAGAAAAAAAAAGAAACCCATGCTCCATCCCGATCCAAATGTTTTAGGTCAAAAGGATATGAAAAACATCAGCGAGAAGCGTAGTGAATCTCCCCATCTGCATTGGCGTCTGCTGCTGTGAAGATCTGTTTCACTCCCTCGGCGTCCAGACCCTTGGCGTAGAGGCGAAGCGAACAGAGCAGTGCTGGGTCCCGTTGGGTGGGATGTATACAGTCAATGCCTTGAGCATTCCGATCGTGGGTGCTTGAAGCGCCTCCATTCCTTCAAACCTAGATGTTGAGGGGAGAGGAGTGCATGTTGATTAGACTTTTGTTGAGTAAGCAATCCTACTCTGAGCCGGACCCTCATCCAAATGTGAGGACCTACAAAATCACTTGTGCAGGCCTAAACTCAGGACTCACCAGTCACTCCTTTTGATTTTGATCATACCGTAGTAGTCCGCATGAACTGTTGCTTCTGACGAAAACTCCAATAGGGCGGTCAGTTACGCCGCTCTGTGAGCAGGAGGCAATCACATTTTGCCGGCGAAGCCCAAACTCCAAACCTTTGAGTCTGAGCTCTCTGTATCTGTGGCTGCGATGGCCTCCAACCTAGTCTCCAACCGAATAGCGATGGCCTCCAACCTAGTAGCGAAGCCCAAACTCCAAACCCGTGTTTAAGTCTGAGCTCTCTGTGTCTGTGGCTGCCCAGCACATACTCTCCCAAAACGAAGCACCGTGCGCTTCCAACCAACAAGCCATTGTGCCACAGCCCAGCTGCCCCAGCTGACAAAAACTCGACAAAACCATGGTGGTTCGCTTGCTTCTGCCATGAACTGCGTGCACGGAATACAAGTTTCTGCACGAAAAAGCTCCTAGTAGCATCCTTGTTCCTAGTAGTACGGCCAGGAGCCCCTAGTAGCGTCCTTGCTCCTAGTAGCGATGCCCTTTGCTCCTAGTAGCGTCCTCTCCTAGTAGCACGCTTGACAACTGGGCCGGGCTTCGGGAACGATCTTGATCAGGACGGCCGCCATCTCATCTTCCAGTATCACCCCATCGCCATTCAGGTCTAGCCTTTGATGCATTTTACTAGGCAAATCATATGAAATAATGACAAGGCGGTAAAGGGCTCATGCCAGCTACAAGGCTTTCGATGGGAGGACCTTGTGGCTTAACGATAGCCATCCAACTTGCGCTTGATGAACACCTATGACCTTGACAGCCTCACAGCTGCAGCGCCAAGTCACTTGGCAAAGGCTTTGGCGATGAGCACCTCAGCTAGAATCCAGAACAACATGTTACCTCGGACCAATTTGGCACATAATTAGTGCAACGATCATGAATCCCAAGCGAGAGATCGTGATTGAAATACAATACCAACTCTGGTCCTTCACTCAGGCGGGCGCTTGGCCATCCCTGTGTTTGAAGGCTGGATGAAAAGAACATAAGCCCCCCGAGCGGCCCCCCCAAATATATGGTTTTGGCAATCTCTTGCTTTTGAAGTTCCTTGAGTCAAAGAGTCAGAATTCTTGGTGTCGAAAAGGACGGCAAGCTCAAAATATACTTTGCATCAAGTTGCTCCATCACTGTCTGTCTTCGTCAGCGTCGGTGCCTCCACCTCATCTGGTCCGGCCCGGGCATCGCCCTCGCTGGGCGCGGCGGGCGTCGCCTCTGGAGCTGGGGCCGTCCTTGGCAAGTCGGCCCAAATGCCATGGGGCGAAATACGGACGGCGTCTTCTCGTTGAACAAATCACTCCGAATGCGTGCAACGAATCGATACATTATATAATTGTATATAAAGTTAGAATAGATATGTATATACTAATGCACATATACTTATATATATATAGTTATATATATCATCGAACTGACTTACGGACATCCTCAGACCCAAGTTACACCTTTTGAACCAATGCCTGTTGCACCACCTTCCCCACCAAGGCTCTTGGGCGCCGGCCGGATCTTCTTTCTGCCCTTCTCCAGGTCTCCGTATGCACCCCGTGGCACTGAGCTGAAGTGGACCAACATCACGTCCAGCGGTGCATCTGCGTGAGTCCTACATGGAAACCCTGCCCGCTCCGGAGAAAAGGATGCTGCTACCATACCATATGCCGGAAATAGGCAGGTGGACTGAGTTCTATATGCTCAAACTCCACCAAACAATCAAAGAATCCGAATTAACGAATTAATAGTCGTAATAGTACACACCCAAGCCCATGAGAATGCAATTCACGCCTGATTTCATTCGCTGTGCTGCTTCACCCAAATTGCCACACCAGCACACGGTCTACATGGTCTGGAATATACGAGGCATGCAATGTGGTTGTCATGGCATGGTCACTGAAGGGCGAAGAAAATGGCCCACGGTGCAAGTCCATCTTAACCGCTGAAGATCCAAATGGCAACACCCAGACTTACGGCATAGTGGGCAAACGATAGGTCACAGTAGGTTGTCAAGAGTATCCCAAGGAAACACGTCGCTGCACTACGACTATTGCAGACTTCTTGGCATTCAAACTCCTGGGCACTTCTCGAGCGATTGCGGCAGCGAGTCCTGAGGGCTCGTTCGATGGCATCCACGATCCACAGGGTGCGATTCCCGAAGGCGCCACCCCCCGACTGCACTGAGGTAGACCTGAGCATCAATGGCTTGAAAGCTAGATGGCCAACCTACTAGCGATGGCCTCCAACCTAGCTACATATCGTGACGCGGTGCCGAGAGCTTTCTGATACAGTAGGTATTTCCTTGAAATTGAAAACGCCGCCGGGGGGACCAGGATTGACAAAGAGCACTACCGTTGACATGTCAATCAAACGTAAGGCAGCTGCATGCACTCCAAACACAAATTCATGCCAGAAGGACCCCATGGACAGCAGGAAGCTGCCACAAGGCAAGCCCCAGCAAAAACACATCAAGCATATTCATATGCAGAAGTGATTCCTAGCCAACTTAGTCCCAATCAGGCGTCTTGGTCAGAATGTATCCTGGCAGCCTCTTCAGCAAAAGTGAACAGCAGAACCTTGAACTAGACTACAGTATCACACGCCCAAATGTATCTTTGTGATTCTTTGTGCTATCAGGCCCCAAACGAAACAAAAGGAGTTTCCAGAGTTCCACCATACATGCGATCTTGTGGATTCTTCTGTTGAACCGTGTCCCTCAGACTCACTTCTGCTGACATCCCTTCTCGAGCCTTCACGCGTGCTTGCCGCTCTGCGCTGAGGATGGCAGCAATGGCCAAAGTGGCTTCAAAAGTCCCTTGAAGCACCAAGCGTGCAAAAGCTTCCTCAGGAAGACAGGCTTCGGCGGCTTCGGCCTTGTGAGGGAAAAAACGACCGGCTGCAGCCCCCGCGGGGCCCCCGCGGCCCGGAGATTGTTCGGCGGTCTGAGATTGGCTTAGTGTGGCTAAGGCTTACGGACAACCTGGAAACTGCAACGGACCGGATCAACTCTCATCCTCGCTCAGCGTCCCAGTCTTGGGATCGGGTGCTCTTCGCATAGGCCACGGGCAAGGCGGAGCAAAAGACTTGGCAAACACGGTGCTCTTTGTTCGCCACTTCCTGGGGCATGGTGGACATGGTCGGAAAGTGCCGTTGAAGGCAAGAACTGCGCAGTGGCTTCAAATGGTGAATGTAAAGGCAGAAATCCGAGCAAATGGCTTGAAGGGTGGGCGTATGGGTTTGCTCCGTGCACTCAAAAAAGCCACTGCCGCTAAGAGTGCTCAAAGAAAAAGAGCCAACTCCCAAATGCTCTTCAGAATGTATGCGGAATTGAGCTCATCCAATGATCCAATGTCCTTGTAAGTGAAGGCGAGGCTTGTTCTGAAGGATTCCACGGCTTCTGCACTCTGACTACCCTGTGGCGTGTGACATTCTTTGTTGCCAGTATATAGCATTTTGGCTACAGTACTAATAGCGATGCCCTCGGTACTACTACTACTACTGCGACGACGACGACGACGACGACTACTACTACTGGCTTCTTGCTTCTGCGATTAAACTCCAAGACTACCAAATTAGTAATCATTGTGAGTCCAACGGGCTATGCTCGTGTCGCAATGGACCACGCCCTGGAACAGAACTGTTTGGATTTTGAGTAGGTTGGAGGCCATCGCTATTAGGTTGGAGGCCATCACTCCAGGACTGTTTGGATTGAGGAGCTTTCTCAAATGCTCCAACAACCAGTCTCTGCAGCTGTGGACTGACACACTCTTTCTGCACTCTGTGGACAGCACTTTGGCCACCTAAAGCCGGCCGAGCTGATCAACAACACCGCTGCAATCTCCACCATATTCGTCCAAACCCCAGGTCACTAGATGTCCATCCTCCAAAACGGCTGCAAAAGCAGCAGCTGTGCCTTTCAGCTTCTGTACCCTTCGCAGTCGATGTTGGACTTTGCTGCAATCACCTCCGGCCTCGGGCTCGCCCCAGGTCACAATCTCTCCATCTGCACGGATGGCAGCGAAAGAAGTAGCTGCACATTCAATGTCCTCAAAGGGTGTTGAAGTCTTATCCACAAGTCAATGTTCAACGTCTTTGTTCAGAAAACCTGAACATGGATTGGGTATTTAAATCCAACAACCGGCAAGTTCTTGGGAGACCTGGAAGTCCTGAACATTCTGCAGTTGCTCTTGCACAGACCTGCAGTCACCACCCACGTCCCTGTCCCCCCAAGCCACCACACTTCCATCTGGTTCACGCACTGCCGCGAAGGCCATAGCAGAAGCATAGGTGCGGCGTATATTCTTCAGTTCATCTTGCACCCGGCTGCTGTCCCCACCACTGGCTGGGTTTCCCCAGGTCACGACATTCCCACCCTCAATGACTGCTGCGAAGGCTGCACTGGTTGCTGCCAGCTGCTGAACTTGCTCAAGTTGATCGCGCACATCTCCACTATCGCCACCTCCGGCTGCATCACCCCAAGCTACCACACGTCCATTCTGCAGCAGGGCAGCAAAGGCGTGCATTGTGCTATAAAGCTTTTGCACCCCCTGAAGGTCATCCTTGACTTCGCTGCTATCACCCCCATAGAATGCCTTGCCCCATGTCACTACACGTCCATCTGACCGAAGCGCGGCCCAGGCTCCATTGCTAGTTTCAATCTGTTGGACATTGTCCAGCTGGTCTTGCACGCAGCTGATATTACAATCTTCATCACCCCAGGTCACCAGCTTGCCATTTCTCAGGATGGCTGTGAAAGCACGCGAATGTGAACCCTGTATCTCTTGCACATTCACGAGCTTCTCCTGGACCAGGCTGCTGTCACCACCACACCCTTTATTACCCCATGTTACAACCCTTCCATCAGACAGGATGGCTGAGAAGGCACCTGCCGACGCAAACACCTGCTGCACATTCTTTAATTGACTTTGGACCGCAGTGCTATCTCCGCCATATTCTGGGTCGCCCCAGGTTACCACGCCCCCGCCACAGCACCATAGGGCAAAGGCCGCGTCCGTGGCCGCCAGCTCAGGAAATGGCAACACCACGGCACTGACTTCGGCTCCATCGTGCAAAACGGCATCAATGGGAAGCTCTGGATCCTTGGATGTCGGCAATAATAACTCTCCATAGAAACTGAGCTCAATGCCCTCAAAACCGAGCGCTGTTGCTAACTGCAATCACGAAACAACTGGGGAAATTTGTACACACACAAAGTTGTACATGACACATCGTTTCACGGTTATATATGTACAGTTGTACATGGACATTTGTTTAATTCAATTCTTCCCTTCATTCTCACAGTTCGCGACCGCTTCCTTCCTCCAGGGATCCAAAAAGACTCCATCTGCCGTTGCCAGGCTCAAGAAAGCCTTCTCAAAGGTCCGCTGCGCCGCCACTTTCAGCTGCCTCACCTGGGCGCCTGCTGAGAGCGAGAAGGATGCGCATCGCCCACTGACGAGAGAGACCTTGATCTCGAGGTCTGTGTTTTGCACCTTAGAGGCCACAGGCAAGTGAAGCATTGTATATGACTAAACACATGTTGGACTTCTTGCACGAAAAAGGACCCTGTCTGTGTGAATTGGGCTGTTCTATATTGAACATATGCGACAGTTGTCTTGACAAATCCACGAAGAAAAGACAGATAACAAATAGAGAGAGAGAGTGAGGGAGCGAGAGTGTGGGGGAAAGATACTTAGCGGTAAACTATGTTTAAACACTCCTCCAGGAACGCCACCTAATGCTATTGCTGATGTTGATTGAAACATGTTGAAAAAATCAAAACCGCATCTGCACCCCCAGCCCTATGGTGGGTTCATCTCTCACTTCTCAATCGCGACAACTGGACTGTAGGTTTTCTAACGCTTGAGATTTGAGAGCGGCTGAAAGCGAAACTTCAAAGCAAAACGAGAGCGACTATCTTGCCCCTTGCCGCAGACGAGTACAGGAGCCGCTTGTAAGCATCTCGCTCATCGGCACTGGAGCCGGAGCCCATGATCAAGATCTTCCAGTTGGACAAGCAAACATCGGATCATGCATGACTCAACTGAACGGAAAAGCGTCCCCCGGTTTGTGGCAGGAATGTCAATTGCCCGGACTTGTATATTTAGACTAAAAACCACTCAACAAGCACATGCTTCTTGAAAGGGTATTGCCGCTTGACTCTGTGAGTAGTGCACAGCTGCCCGTGATAAAAACCGCTGGTTGCTTGAGCAAAGTCTGTCTGATGGAGCCAACAACACCTTGCTTTGCTGTGCTTCAGCAGCCCAAGCCGTAGCTCAGAATGAATCCTGCGAAACACCGAGGGAAAAGAGAGTCGTTGGCTGATTCCCTCAGTTTGGAACAAAGAGCTCGGTCAACCTTTTACCACCAGTGCATTGGTAGCACAAGACATCCCAAGGTTAAAGCTTGTTATGAAGCACTGGACTGGAAAAACGGGGCAGGTCTAGTCGGGCTGAGATAAGGAGTTCACTCCAAAGGATGCACGGTAGTGCGACAAAGCTTCAGTGTCCCAGTGGACACCAATCCGCAGGCGGTTGCGAATCTCATCCGAGAGTTTCTCGTCCTGGAGGGCCAGGACGAGAAACAATAAAGTAGGAGGGGAGAAACCTCGATATGCAGGAATGGTATATGAGAGTGTATCGATCGCCGTCGAACTTGGATGCAGTGCTGTTTGAGCTTTCCGGACTTTGGATATTGGTTCCTAAGCCACCGAAGCCATCGTCTTAGTCGCTACACTCGGTGAACATGCTGACCTCTCGTTCCCTCAGTGCCCTCTTGATCATCGAATCTCATCGACCTTTTGCTTATAGTGCGTGGATGTGGGTGGTGAATTTATGAGCAAGTGGTCTACCCATTGCTGACAGGAAAGCATACCTGGCATGTTGTAAACCAAAACTGCCCAAACTGCTCACAGTAATGAATTGAAATGCTGATTCCCATGCAACTGACACAGCATAAAAATCAAAGTGCACGTCCTAGCCTCTTTGATTCGTTGGCCCAACCGCGCCAAGCTTTTGGAGTCTGTGGGCAGGCAGTATCCATTCACCATCCGCCAATACTTCCTGGGCACACGAACCCACTTCCTTCCGGCGCAATGTATGGATTGAAAGAGGCCGGGGAATGGCCGAAGACTTGAAAGCCTTGAGCAGGAAAATCCATCACATCCCATGGCTCCTAGAAGTTCTCGAGGGGCCAAATGCTAACAAGTATCTTTTTGCGGAAACCCTCACCTGGTTGTTTTGTTTTTTTTCCGGGCATGGGCGCCTGATTCAAGCATGACGCGGCGCATTGAAGTGCGATATTCTTCTTGCTGAGCACGTCCAGGTGGCATCTTGGGGGTCTCAAGAACTGATCCATCATTCCGCCAAGGGGGACCTCTCAAATGACTTTTTCTTTTGAAGGAAAGGCTCTCTTTGGCGTTGTTGACCAGTTCCCCAATCTCTGCCAAGCCATCCAGCTGACGTCCTGGCCAGGGACCTAGTCCAATAGTTCACGGAAGCACCAAGATAGGTGGAAGTGCTGAAGCCCCAAAAGCCAAAGTGACCAAAACCACGATGATCATAACCCACGCATCCAATGAGTATTTATATATATATATAGTTATATCATATCACTATAACGGGGTTGGAGTGGGATTCGGGACGCTGAAATGAGAAAGTGGGAATCTGATTAAACGGCGTTGGTTGGAGTCTGAAACTGTAACGTTGGATGTGAAACTGAAACGAGTGGGGCAACGTCCTTCTTTGTCTCATCACGTCGCACACGAGCATTGCCCGATCCCACCCACCCGGCAGCCGAACACCTTGAGAAGGCTGTGAAATCCAGAGAGTTGCGGATAAGCTGCAGGCTGCTCAAACTCACTGACAGTTTAGGAACTCCTCTATAGACTTGGAATCCGACTGGGTAACCTTTAGCATCCTGTGAAGGTTCGGAGTCGGACTTTATCCACCTTGAACGGGCAGGTGGATCTTAAGCTATCATGGGACCAAGGCAAGGGGCTAAGAGCCATTGATGAGTTGCCTTAGTCTGCGTGTCTTGAGTCTTCCATCATTATGAGCATTGTGCCACAAGGAGTGTTTCTCCTTTCTTCCTCTCAGTGTGATCAGTTGAGTGAACTCCGAAATCAAACAAATCATTATGTGAGGGGCGCTGGACCTCTTCCACGATACCCCAACGCCACCCGGGCTCCTCGCCCTTGGCCACTGCCGTTCACCTCAGTTGGTGCTCGAGTGCCAATTTGGGACCTTTCGCCTGCCCCAATCTTCTGCTCAAGCGATGGTCCAATCTGATCATTTAGCAATTAGATTTACAGTAGATGATACGACAGAGTCGAAGTGTTGAAGAGCCACTGGTGAACTGTAACACTGTGGCTGAACCTCCGCGATGCCAAGGCACGAAGTAGTTCCGGAAGACAGTGCCCGCTGGACAGCTCACAGCACATGCCTCAAATGAAAACACACATAACTACCGCAAGGGTCCAGGAGCACTGTCACTGCTTCTAGTCCTTCTTCCACGATTTGCCCTATGCGTTTGGGATGCCTGTCGTATACAACCCCGCTTGCGACCAAGTCTGCTGGGCCCTGTGTGGCATCGCTGTAGTAGCGGGTCACTCCATCCTCTGGGCGTGCGCCAGGCTCGTTCATCTCCAGGCAGTTGAATTGCGAGGCCACCTCTACAAGAAATTGGGCTCTGTATGTCAACGAGGTGGCAAAGCTCAGAAGAAACATTGAAGGTGGATGTGGAGGGGGCATACTTGAGTGAGAAGTCACAGTGAGGAAGGGATCAGAGTTAATTACTAAGATCTCAGAAGCTACAGTAGGGTGATGGATGTGCCGCCAGTATCACGTGAGCAGGAGAGACGAAAGGTAGGATCCGAGGGATCAAATGAAGGTCCTATTGTACGGTGGCCTTCTTTTCTTGTGGACCATTCTCGCTACGTGTCAGTGCGGCTGTTGTTGATGCCGGTCTCGGAGCCCCTAAACCCAAGTCTTTGATTCAATCCTCTTTCTGAGGGGGCCATCAGCATTCAAGTGAATATCCCTGGGTCTGGTGTGAATCTGTCAAACCAATATCAAGTCAGGTGCAACCTTTTGGAGCAAAAGCCAGATGCCCGGCCTTCCCCACACATTCTTCCAAATCATATCATGAGTCAGTCAGTTTGTTTCATGCAACTGTGCTACATATCAACAAAGTTAATACAACCCACATTTGTGCAACTATATTAGTATCTTAGGTTATCTTAGTCTGCGTCATATCTTTTGGCTTCATACTTCTTCGGGAGGCCCACAATCAATTGGGTCCGAGCTTTCTTCCAGCTCAATTTCAAAACGCATACTGCAAATACTGTAGGCCCCAATTCATGTCGTTGCGTCTGATCTGAACATCTTAAACGTGCCCACCATTGTCCACCCAAATCTACCTCGACTCATCCGCTATTGCCGCCGGCCCTTTTTGATCCCTTTTGCCGTTGCCGGCGCATCTTCTCGTGTTTGCTCCCTCACGAAGGCTGGGAATTGAGCGAATAAGACTGAAAAAGATCATTCAATAGAGACACCTTGAGTCGCACCTAGCCTTGAAAGATGTTCAATGCTCTAGAAGATCTCGTCTGTGTGGCCATCAAATCTCTATAAAGATAATCCAACCATTCTATAAAATGAGTTACAGTTACAGTGATTTGGATTCCAAAATGAAAAGTATTGAACATCACGGTTTGGATTTGTGAAATTGTCTACCCGGCAAACATGCCAAATGTTTATATCCTTATATTGAAATTTGAAATATCTATATATATATATACTGCAGTATGCAATGGCAAGATTGAAAGTCAAAGCACCGCACCAAAATGAAAGGTAACAGGCACCGTTTCATCAAAAATGTCCTGCACCACACCAAAAACACCAGCTCTATGACTTGCACATGTCTGAAATACATCTCTCAACAACTCCTCTTCCGCCCGACCCCTTGGGTGTCTAGGAGGTGCGCCTGTTAGCGTTGCTCCGCCGCAGGGTCTTGCGTGGCAGACGCGGCTGCTGCGGCAGCAGCAGCGGCGGCGTTTTCTTTGAGCTGCTTCACCTCAGTCTGACAATCTGACCCTTCTGGTGAGGCAAAATGCGAAACCCGACAAATTACAAAAGGAAAAAAGGGAACCGTGTGTGGGTTCCAGTCGCTTGCATTTCTTTGGATGTTTAAAAAAAAAGGAACATTGGTGGTGGTGGGCAGTTGAAACTACAATGCAGGATTCATGGCACAGCGGTTGTGACAGCTGAGGTTGTGGAAAAGGAAACGCAGGAGCCCTCGAGCCCGCAGTCCCTGGGATGCGAAACGACTTTCCTCTAGAAACAGGTATGACTTTGGAATGGGGCGTGCTAATAAATATACTGCAATGAATCTATTTTGTTAGCTGCAGGCTGTCTCTCCCTCTCTGTAGGGTGCCATCTTGAGATGATCTCTCGTTGGCAAATCACTACTGTATCCAATGTGTCCTGTCATGTCCTGGCTAATCATTAATGTTGACTGTTGATTGATAAACTGTCATCTGAAGATGTTGGACCATCCTGGTTCTGAATCCGTAACGCGCAACGCGGAACCTGACCAGATTCAAGATTCATGCGAACTCGTGCTGAACCAAGTAAGGCATCTTGGATCATTTCCCCACCTGGGATGCCTCGGATGCGTCAAGACACCACTTCTTCTGAGCGTTTGCGTTGCTGTTCGCGAGCTTCTTCGGGAAGGATGAAATCACCTCAGCCCATCTCTGGTTGGATGCCATTGCTAGGTCCTAGACCGGGGAAACGCAAAAGAACTGGATGGTGCAAACAATGCTTTGGGGTATTTCCTAGATTTTACCAAGAATACTGAATTGGAAATGAAGGAAGGGTACGGCATAGCTCGAGGAACAGCCTCTGGAACAATAGAAAGCATGAAGCTGGACAGGTCAATGAAAGGGAGGCGAAGCCGACAAACATGATAACACCAACAACATAAGTGTTCCATTCCATCTTTCCTCCGTCTACACCGCTTTCCTTAACCGCTTCTCTCACCTTATCCACAGACTCCTATGCCAAACTGAGGGGTCTTCACCCTTTTTCCGGGTGTGTGTGTGTGTATGGGGCGGTGGTTCACAAGAAACCTACACTGCCTACCTCCACTGATCCCACTGGCTCCAAGCTCCCTGCAAAGAATGCAGTATCTCCAGCCACCCGAGACTGACATTGCCCCGAACCCCCGCTCCCTCCCGATGCATCCTCACTGAGATTCAAATAGTCAAGTTCTCCTGCTCATTGTACATCATGGTTGCCAGGCTCAGCATCCGGTGATAGAAGAACATGGCGGAAGCGCTCTTTGTTCGTAGCCTAACTTAACTTGCGACCGTGTTTCCTGGCTCCGTGCAACACACGACACCTCCATTTGGATGAACATGCCGGCCAGTGCTCAGTCCGAAAGCGCAGATCATTCGGAGGTTGACCGAACTGCCTTTGTCTACATACATTGCTCTGAGAATTTGACTGGCTGGCTGCGGGTCAACGAAGCTTCCAATGCAAATGCCCCGAACACAACGGAATAGCCAAACTGGCGTTACCTGGATGTTCACCCGCAATGGCTCTGGTGTCCTGTTCTGAGCCCTTTCCCCATGCGCCAAAACTATACATAGTCTCGCTTGTTTCGCTGCTCTAAAGCTCCAAACCTCAAGGCCTGTGATTCAGGCTGCTGGCAAAACACACAAATAGTACCAAACATGATTATCTATATAACATTTTATATAAACAACTGAGAAGAAAAACAAGTAACGTTAAGAGATAGAGCTTGGACCCTGAAATCTACGCGCCTGGAACACAGCGCCCTCATTGGCCGCGTCTCGGTGCAGCGTCTGGGCCTTGGCATGTGTGAGGAAGAAGGCTTATATAAACATCCTGTTTTTCACAAGTACACAAACCCGAGTTGGGTTGGTCTGGACTGCAGTGCCTTCGGGCCGTGCTCAGGGAAAAGAAACTTCACCAAATATCATCAGATATCATCAAACTACAGAATGCTCCAATGGATTCCCACAGTTTTTGACGTTCTCTCTCTCTCTCTCTCTCTCAGCTTTTAGATGCTCATGACAATTCCCAGGGGGAGTCCTGCCAGCCGTTGTATATAGAATGAAATGGTGGGCCTAACCTTGCTGCCACCATACTTCACATATATTCTCTACAAAATGGGTAGGATGGACCACACCCTTCAAAGTCAGGCATTCATTTAGTGCCGGATGGTGATTTCAAGTCCTTACATGTTCTATCATGTCCTTATGTTCCTCACATGATGCCAAAAAATGTTTCTAGGCACCATCGCTCAAAGCAACTGAACCGTTCAAAGAAACGTGTTTTGTATGAAAACTGTTGCATTCTCTTTTCCTCGTCTCTGTGCGCATTGTTATGTTTAAAAAACCTGCCCGCGTGTGGATGTTGAGTCCTTTTGATGAGACGCATTCAAACACACAAATCTCGCAGTCATGGACGAGCGCTAATTTCCCAAACCCACACCACAAGACATGATTTTCTCGATAAAATGGGGCTTGACGTCCCCAAGGAGGTTGACGTCCCCAAGGAGGGGGCTCATATAGCGTTTTATGGCAGACCATGACATACCGACATATCCCATTTCATAGAGGATATATTGTCCTGGCCGTGTTAGACTAGACACATCTCCCACTCAGTCTTTGAAGGGTCAGTTCGGTCTATCTTGGCTGCAGGCATTCCCGCAAACATTGCCTCAGTGAGAAGTCCGGGATGGCGGACCAAATAATTCAAACAAAGACATGGGCATTGCCGGCGCCCCCAACGAATTCTCCAAAATCTTAGCAAAGCAGACCAGTGCACCCATGTTGCAAATGACACTGTTTGCGGGGCCATGTTGCTGAAGGTCAAACCTCCCAAACTTCCATCAAAGCCTGCAGCACGCAGTGTCCGCAACAAGCAAACAAGGACAACAAACTGTTGGATCCGAATTTGCCCACCAGCACATCCCGTGAACTGCCAGCGTGTGCAGGTTACCTTTTCTCACTTCATGGCTTTGATTCTTGAGGCTGATAGACATTTGCCTTGGGCAGCTATAAGCAGAATCTCATCAGGTAAACTGCTAAGCTCTAGTTACAACTGTTGAACCCCGCCGTCCACCTGGCAAATACTGCACTTGACCCCCTTCACCCCTTCATAAAGACCGGCGCCTGCCAGCCTTTCCCGCAGCTCTTCCACTGAGACCAGCTCGAAAGGCCCGACATGGAACTGGCGCTTTGTGACCTGAACTGTGCAGCAGTCGATTGAACAACTGCACCTTGTTGATAGTAGCTTCTTGTTACTAGCTGTGCATTGATCTGAAAGGGCTGCCTGGCCACACCAAGTCCTGACACCAAAACCCACAGCCGCCGTGTCAGAGTCAAAATGCCCGCAGTGTTGATGCATGCCTCGAATGCCTCGAATGCGGCCCGAGCTTTTTCCACCACCAACACCCATCTCGCAGGGCCTTGCTTTCCAGAATCCCATCGGCAAAGGTGAACTTCTCACCTTGAGACATGAGAGTGCCAACGAACAGGGTGAACCCACACAGAGATTCTCTCACATGGTCTGAAAAAGATTTATATAACTATGTTTAAAGCATAGCCTCACGGTGTTATCTATGCTGGGATCATTATGTATACAGTACTAGTCTGCTACTGTTTACTCATACTGTACTCCAATCCACCGATATGGCCAAGGTTGGAGGAGGGCATGTGACAAGAAATGTGGGAAAATCAATGAAGTCGGTTGGATTGGTTTTCCTTTGAGTTCTGTGAGTGTCCTGCTACACAGCGTCAAAGCACTGCCCATGCTTCGGCCAAGCTGCGGGTCTTGTCGAAGCTCTCCTAGAGCATGGCACGAACGGTCCGGTGGCCGAGCTTAATTAACGAGGAAAGGGAGCCCCAAAGGGTAGCAATCAATTTTGGACTTCGCAGATGCCATAAACATCAGCCAAAAAAAAGAACACGTGTAGAGGTTTTGTCCACAAGGCTCGTCAGGGGCCAGTGATTCCAACAGTTGGGCAACCCTGTTCCTCCGGTGGCTCTCTCTCTCTCAGGGCCACACACTGCTGGCCCAACCCCTTCGATCCACTCTGTCCTCGCTGAACCCGAAGGTCTCCGAGAACCAATACGGGGATGCCACGGTGCCTGGAGCCGAACCACGGTGCCTGGAGCCGAAGGTAGCCTAATTAGGAAGGAAAGCCAATCACTTGGAATCCACGGTCTGGGGCCTCGTTGACCCTTGGGTCGTACCTGGAGCTGCCAGGCTGTGGCTTCAAAGAAGGTTGGCGCGCGGTGGAAGAATGTCCCAAGGGTCCCAGGCCATCGATGGGAGTCAACGGTAGCTGGGCCACCTAGCGAAACTGGCGCAATAAGGGGACGGCCTCCTTCAGCAGCATCCTTAAGCAACTGAGTGTGTTTCTTCAATCAGGTCACTCACACCCTCAGGCTGGTCTTCCCCAGGGTTGCTACCCGTTGTTGTGGCGTCCCTCATGGCCCTCTACGCTGAATGCCACCTTTACCCTTCTGCGCTCCGCCTGGCATCTCGCCAGCAGGCAGAAGTATGGAAGCGCGCTAAAGTGGATAAGTTGTTGCAATCAAGTGTGACTGGGAAGTTATACTTAAGATGAGCGGGAACAAGGGTGTAGAGGTTTGCATCCAACATTTGGATCAGGCAGGAGCTGAAAATAAATAGCTGTGCGGAGGGCACAACATTTCGACTTGGTTTAGTTCCTGCATGCAACAGCTAAAGCACCATTGTTCAAAGAATGCTCGCCACGAAGATCGCTCATGAATCTCCTTGATGCTGCTTCTTCAGCATTACGGCTACCAGAGTCGACCATGCTGCCAGTTCCTACTGTTGCCTTGCCCCCTCAGTTGCACCATAAATTCAAAGACCATTGTTTCTTTGGTGGCCAACATTGATTTACGCATGATCACCCCAGGAAGCACAAACATGCCAGGTTGATGCTACAAAGATCTCCCAGGACAACAGTGGCATTTGTTACACCATGTTGCAACAATCTTCCCTCGATAAGTTTTCAAGCGACCAACCACTGGATCCAAGGTGATCCAGTTCCGAAAGGTCATCACCAGGACCTGCCCATGGCTAGAGCCTCTAAAATTATGGATGATAGTTATATATATATACACATACAAATGCACACACACACTTATATATATATAGACACAGCAACACACCATCAAACAGTCTGACTTCTTCACGGGTTTTTGGTGTGAAGACCCCGTTGCACAGGGCCTGTTCCAGTTCTTTTGCACTGGACTGCTGTTTGCTCGAGACTCGAGACTTCGTGAAACGTCTTCAATCGATTTCGCTTCACTCTTCGGGACCGAACGCCATCTGAACTGACCACTGGTGCAACTCAAACGGCTCGACCTGAAGACAGGAGGCAAACAGGGACCTAACAGGGCTCAACTGGCTCAAGTCGAATGTGAAACCAAATGCCGCTTCAAAGACAAAGGAAGTGAAAAACAGCAAGGCAGCCACCTCCACATGGGAACTGGGCAATCCTACGTTGCGCAGCTTGCTGAAGTTGCCATTGGGCACGAGCAAGTTGGGGTGAGCCAGGGAGTGCATCCCTCCCTACCTGCCATGGGGAGAACCTCTGGGCAAACCAGGAGGGTCTCATATAACACTACATAGTGTGTATATTATGTGTATATATATATGTGTGTGTGTGTATATATGTGTGTGTAGATATACCACGCTTTTGCCTGTGACCAAATCTTTTGCATACCTCGACGCCAAGGGAACATGTTTGCCCATTGGCTCCAAAACACTCCAAAAACAAGTCGGCTTGAGAACACCTGCACCGTGAGAAGAAATTGGCAAGCCCAAGGCCACAACCAGTGATAAAAAAAACATCAAATCCCACACATGTGCGTGCAGGCGGACAGGGATCATCCCACACATCGGCCCAGCAGCAAAAAAGCCTTTTCTTCAAGCTTACTATTTGCATCCGCCACTATTCCAACCTATTCCATCCCTTCGGACACTAAAGACCGCACCTCATCACCGTCCGACATCTCTGCCTGCTGCGACCTTTGATGTGCCACTTCCTGGCAGCGCTTTGGTCGATTTGCCCTGCTTGCTCTACGAACAAGCATGGCCAAAGGTGGGGGATGGATGGGAACTATCCAAGTCGTGTTGAATCCTAGTGCGAACATCGTTGTGCTGCATGTTATTCTGGGTCTTCAAGTCACATGACGCCTTTCTGACCCCAGCCCAAAACTATTGAATGCAAACTCCGCCTTGCACAACCCATGTCCTTTGCATTCTTCCACGGCAGCTAGCCAAAAGCAATAGTGGAGCACCGGAAATCTATGAAGCGTCCGACAATATGCCAGAAGGAGGGCAAATGAACGCTTGCCAGCTAGCAAAGGGAGGGAGATGCCCAAACAAGTAGCAGAGCCAGTATCCGCCGATGGCTGAAAGTGCGGGCGCTCACGCAGTGAACTTGCACTGCGCATGTTTCAGCGGTTTTTGAGGTTGTATGACTGCCGATGACATTGCCCGCGATTGGTTTGAAGAAGAACCTACTGTATATCATATGAGTCTATGAGGAAATTAACACCACGTAGCGGAACCCACAGTGCACCGCGCGGGCTGCGACGGGAGAGGAGGTCTCTTGTCCGAAAGGTCCGGGGCCCACGTTGACGAGTCCCAAACTCTTGCAAGAGCTACTGTGCACAAGCTCTTGGTGAGCAGAAATGTAATCCGAGTCAAAAGGTTCTTCAATAGTTGACCTACCCGGTCTCAATATCGCAACAAAGATCCGCTGTTGAATGGAAAATCTTGAGCATGGAAAGTGATCGAAAGTGATCACCCTTGCAACGACTAGACGGGCATCATTCGCTTCCTTGAGTCCGTCGGAAGCCCACCCCCCACGCCTCTGGAAGCCGCACTGCTTCGCGCTTGGAGGTCTGTGGGCGAACCGAGTTGGGCGAAGCCTAGCCGTCGACGAAGCGGGGCCTTAAAATCGGACAACTTGCGTCCAACTTATAGTGGTTTCCAAGTTGTCGAGTCCTCCCCAGCTTGCGTCCACTGCAAGAACTTCAATAACCAATGGAGTCCTAGAGACCTAAGCTGGCCACCCTAGATTATGCCAGTGCATAGGTCCCAAACAGTTTCAGTTGCTTCTTGGCGTCAACTCCTTGAATTCCAATGTTGGTGGAAACGTCTGCAATTATATTCTTATAGTTCCCAGCATTGTTTGAAAACAATAGTTCCTGATTCCCGGGTCACCTGTGCAAAAACGAAGGGATATAAATATATATACTTGAGAGAGGAGAGGGTGAACGAAAGGTAGCAGGCAATCAAAAGTAAGCCTGGTAGAAGTCCATGACGGCGTCAAGGGTGGATGGATGTGACCCAAACAGCGACGGCGCAGGGGTGGAATGATCCAGGGAGGGGGGGGGCCCCCCGTCGAACAGAATCCTTTCTTAGAGGACCAAACTCAATGAATAATCCCAACTCCAGATTGTAATACATTTTTGCTAAAGCAAGGAGAACTCAGGTAGCTCAAGCTACCTTTCGTGATTATATAATCTATACTTCACGAGGATGAGAAAATCCGAGGATGATATCAAGTTTGAAACGCTGCGCCACTGTTGCATTCACACTGCGGCCACGGCTATCACGGCCAGCCATTTATGTCCTAAACTTTTGGGGGAAGAGGAAGAGCACACAGGGTTCGAAAGCATGGCGTGGCGGACACGGGGGTTTGCCAAAGGACTGCAGGACACCGCGAGAGGACAAGAGGAGGACACAGGGTTCGCGAGAGCGGCCAGGATGGGGTTCGCCAGCGTGGCCAAAGGACAGTAGAAGGACATGAGTAGGAGAAAAGGAGGATGCAGGGTTCGGGAACACGGCCAAAGACTGTGGCCGGTGTCTTTTTCCTTCCAGAGCTTGCAAACAAATGTAGACACAGGGAGACAAATGTAAAGGATTGCAAGCAATTTGCAGCCCAGAGCTGGGCACAAATAAAGGATTGCAAGGCAGAGGCGGATACAGCAGTCTAGAGCTGAGAGACAAATGCAAAGGCTTGCGAGGACACATGTAAAGGATTGCAAGGCAGAGGCGGACACAGCAGTCAGAGCTGGGAGACAAATGTCAAATTAAGGATTGCAAGGCAGAGGCGGACACAGCAGCCAGCGCTGGGAGACAAATGTAAAGGATTGCAAGGCAGAGGTGGACACAGCAGCCCAGAGCTGGGAGACAAATGTAAAGGATTGCAAGGCAGAAGCGGACACAGCAGTCCAGAGCTGGGAGACACATCTGGACACAGGGTGTAAAGGATTGCAAGCGACACGCGGCCCAGAGCTGGGAGACAAACGTAAAGGATTGCAGGGCAGAGCAGCTGGGAGACAAATGTGAAGGGTTGCAAGCGAGAGGGGGAGAGAGGAGGCACATGTAAAGGAAAGAAGGAAGACAAGGCGGACACAATGACCAGCAAGAAGGGGAACAACAAGGCAGACAAGAATGGAGACAAAAGGAAACAGAATGGAGACAAGCCGGACACAATGACCGACAAGAAGGGAAACAAGAAGGGAGAAAAAAGGAAACAGAAGGGAGACAAGACACAAGAAGGGAGACAAGACCGGAGACAAAGGGAGACAAGAAGTGAGACAAGGCGGACACAATGACCAACAAGAAGGGAGACAAAAGGAAACAGAAGGGAGACAAGACAAACACAGTGACCAACAACAAGGGGGACAAGACCAGAGACAAAAAGAAACAGAAGGAAGACAAGGCGGACACAATGACCAACAAGGAGGGAGACAGAAGGAAACAGAAGGGAGACAAGACCGGAGACAAAGGAAAACAGAAGGGAGACATGCGGACACAATGAAGACCAACAAAAAGGGAAACAAGAAGGGAGACAAAAGGAAACAGAAGGGAGACAAGGTGGACACAGTGACCCACAAGAAGGGAGACAAGACAAAGGGAGGCCGAAGGGACGAGGCGGACACAATGACCAACAAGAGGGCGACAAAAAGGAGACAAAAGATAACAGAAGGGAGACAAGTCGGACACAATGATCAACAAGAAGGGAGACAAAGAAAGAATGAAGGGAGACAAGGCGGACACAGTGACCAACAAGAAGGGAGACCAAGAGAGACAAGCCGGACAGAAGGCGGACAGGCTGTCCGGCAGCAAGGCGGACACTCTTAGAAAGCATTTAGAACCCCTAGCGGTAACCTGTTTGGGGAAGTACAGAAATCACCTGGGAGACAAATGAATAGAAATGCTGGAAAGGGGAAAAGGGCGGATGCCAGCAGTGCAGGCACCGAACTGGAAAACAAAAGTAAACAAACCACATGGGAAACAAATGAATAGAAATGCTGCATGCCCAGCGGAAAAGGGCGGACACCAGCAGTGCAGGCACCGAACCTGGGAGACTAAAGTAAAGAAATCACTTTAAAGACACACGAATTAAAATGCTGCATGGCCAGCGGAAATGGGCGGACACCAGCAGTGACAGAAAGGGCGGACACATCTTAAGGAAGAATTGAGAAACCCTACGCAACGGCACACTGTTTGTCGAATGAATACAAATGTTGCATCGCCAGCGG